ACACACATATAAATGTGGCAAGGGATCAAGATTCCATCCAATAAATGATTTCCTGCAGAAGCTGAAGGCCAATAAGTATTACATAACCTGTGCTATAGTGAGGTCTTTAAAAAACCAGCTGCTGAATTTTCAGTGTTACCACAATGAAAACAAAACAAAATACAACCAAAGAAAACTCCCTCAAACCAACAGCAAAAAGTCTCAAAATTTTTTTTTAATTTTTTGAGACAGAGTCTTGCTCTGTTGCCCAGGCTGGTATGCAGTGGTGATTATCTCAGCTCACTGCAACCTCCGCCTCCCAGAGTCAAGCAATTCTCCTGCCTTACCCTCCCAAGTAGCTGGGATTACAGGCGCACACCACCATGCCCAGCTAATTTTTGTATTTTTAGTAGAGATGGGGTTTTGCCATGTTGGCCAGGCTGGTCTGAAACTCCTGACTTCAGGTGATCCACCTGCCTCAGCCTCCCAAAGTGCTCGGATTACAGGCATGAGCCACCGCGCCTGGCCACTCTCAAATATTTTTGATGTTATACATAGTTTTTTTTAAAAAAAATTACAAACTTGAAACTGTTTTCCTTTGATTATGCCAAGATTATAAACAACACAATTTGAGTATGAAGAAGGTAGTGTGTAGAAGTTTTGAAATAATCCACTAAATCATAAAGTGCATCATGGTTCTTTAGCAAAGGGAAAGAAAACGATAACTGCTTAACTATACAGCTGTGTTGCTTCTAGAGAGCATAAGGCTCTCATATTCTTCAAGTGCAGGTTGCGTTTTATGAACTAGACACACATGTTTTGTTTGGCCTAAAACTATGACGGGGATGCAGCTGGAGAATATGCATGGCTCTTAAGGAATAAACTGCTTTTTAGCTATAAATGATTTCTGGTTCAAAAAAGATGTAACTAAAGGTTAAAATATCTACTAGATTCTTTGTCCCATTTCATTAACATGTAGTCTGCAACATGTTAATAAATCTAATATACCTTTGAAATAAATCTAATAAGGGCTGGATGAAGTGCCTCATTCCCGTAATCCCAGCACTTTGGGAAGCCATGGTGGAAGGATCACTTGAGGCAAGGAGCTTGAGACCAGGTTGGGCAACACAGTGAGACACTGTCTCTATTAAAAAAAAAAAAATTAATCAGGCTGATGAGGTGGTTCATGCCTATAATCTCAACACTTTGGGAGGCAGAGGCAGGCAGACTGCTTGAACCCAGGAGTTCAAGACCAGCCTGAGTAACATGGCAACACCCTATCCCTACAAAAATACAAAAAAAATTTGCCAGGCATGGTGGGATGTGCCTGTAGTCCCAGTTACTTGGGAGGCTGAGATCGGAGGATCAATTGAGCCCAGGAAGATAGAGGATGCAGTGGGCCCATCATGCTACTGCACTCTAGCCTGGACAACAGAGGGAGACTCTGTCTCTAAAAAAAAAAAAAAATCAGCTGGGCCTTGTGGTGGGTTCCTGTAGTCCTAGCTACTCAGGAGGCGGAGTGGGAGGATTACTTGAGCCCAGGAGTTCTGAGGTAACTGTGAGCTATGACCACTGCACTTTAACCAGGACAACACAGCAAGATCCAGTCTCAAGAAAACTCTGATATGACACTCTGTCCTACTTAACTCTCCTGTTAAGTAATTTTAAATCCAAACTGTAATATGTAATAAATGTTAAGGAATAGAGATCGCATATAGCATTCAAATATTTCTACTCATCCAATGTGGCAAGTTTTAATTTCAGTTAATAATGAGTCACTTTTGAAAATCAAGAAATAACAGACAATTCTTCAAGACAGTGGTTTTGCTTTAATTTGTCAAATTCTTTATTCTTTAGGCTACTAATCACCTTAATTTCCAACCTTCCCATTTCAAAAGCTGCATTCCTTTATTCAGTTCTAGCATATCACAGAATTTGTTTACTAGCTCAGAATTCTAATTAAAATTTTATCTGGATTACCTCTAATTAATGGTGTCCGGAAAAAAAAAAAAGAAAAAAATTATATGTGCAGTTTATTTTTACAGAAATCCCCATAAGTCCAATTTTGTAAAAGATTGAAATTTGCCTTATTTACCTTATATTCTTCTAAGCTTTTTATCCTACTTATGTTACTTAAGGGTGGCCTCTTGCTGATTCAGTGGTTACTACTAGGGTGTATTTAAACTGTGAATCAGCGATAGAAAAACAATGAACTAGTGGTTAAAAGAGATGGGCTCTGGTCTGAGTGGTACTACTAGCTAGCTGTGTGATCTCAGACAAGTTGCTGTCTTTTCCTAGACTTTAGTTTCTGGTTATAGCTGGACTCAATGATCTTAATGATACCAACTTCCAGCCCTTAAAAGCTTTTGTGTTCTGAAAAGTAGTTCAGCTCATCCTGTAGTGGCAAGAGCAATGCCCACACATAACCTGGAAGAAAACCCCTTGGTGCTTGTTGATGACTTCCTCACTCTGGCTGCTCAGGCCACTCTAGTCAGGCAACATTCTCTTTCATCTTCCATGACTGAGCACTCATCAGGTGCCTCACATTGCGGCTATGAGAGATATGGGAAAATTTTTGCAAAAGCAGTTTCCTAAATAGCCAAAAGATTTTTAAGACAAAGGAACCCTTGCCAAACATAAAAAAGATTAAAATAGACATTTTAAGTAAGATATTTTCAACATGTCATGTCCAATTTTATGTGATTATATATGAAAAAACTGCCTCTTCCCCCAAAACTCCATTTAAAAAAAAAATCCTTAAATTTGGGAAAAGTAAAAGGTACACATCAATATTTTTTGTTGTTGTTGTTCTACTAAGAGAATACCATATTTTATTGCTAGAAACAGAGCAAGAGAAGAGCCCTGAAAAGCTAATAATATCAACCTGAGGGGCTTCATCAGAACAAAGAATTCCTAGTACATTTACGGAACAGAATGTGGCTACCTATATACAGTCAGACACCCTAAGCATTCAGGATATGTAAATGATCATGTGGAGGTCACAGGAAGGAGAGAAACTGTAACCCTCCAACAGTGAAGAGTGCCAGGCTGCCTCAGTTAATTTAGGACTGAAAGATTCCAGCTTTTGAAAATTCGATTAAAGTAAGCCTCATGCAGATTTTGGTAATCAACATACCAATGAGCTTCATTGCTGTGAAAGCAGTTCACAGCTATTAATTTTTCAAGCTTACAAATGATTTATGCACTGCTTTTGAAATCTACAAAGAACTTGATGAAATGCTTAAGAAAAAAAACCTCTAAAAGGAGTTCTTAGTTATGATACCCTGCTACTTTTTGCTTTCTTTTTGTTGACTTTTTAAAGACAAATTCTCCAAACTGTTGATCTGGAGAAATAATTTCTTTTTCTGCCCATTTGTTCTTCATTGTTTAAACCAAATCTAGAAGAGAAGCATTTGGCCTATTTGTGATTGTTAAAATGTGATACCATGAGGCTTGGTATACTTACTCATCATGAACTACTTTATCTCTTCATCTATAAGCACATCAGAAGGTGGGGTTTTCCAACCATTTTAGTTAAATGACTGTCATGGCCAATAGATTGGGAGAATATTATTCTCTTACCATCAAGGTTCTGAAACTGGGCCAGGAACTCCTCTATTCTCTTAGCTGTGCTGCCAAGGTGCTTTTCACAAGACTTAAAAACCTTGAAACATTTCTCAAGTATGATCATCAATTCATCCTTTGCCAACATCCTAGAACAGAGTCAGTGACAGGAAATGTAATGTAACTAGAAAATCAACACCCTTAAAAAGCATTATATTTAATACAGATATTAAATGTTTCTGATCAGAAGATAAAATAAATTCTTCATTAGTAGTTACCAACTTTTTTTTTGTAGAGATTTTCCTCCACATATGTGACATTCAGAATTCTTTTTTTTTGAGACGGAGTTTCGCTCTTGTTACCCAGGTTGGAGTGCAATGGCGCGATCTCGGCTCACCGCAACCTCCACCTCCTGGGTTCAGGCAATTCTCCTGCCTCAGCCTCCTGACATTCAGAATTCTTGAAGGATCCTCATGATAAAACTTAGCTTAGAAAATTTACAAAGGTCTGGATTCACAGTGTGGCTCTAACACTATGTTTGCAATATAGAATAAGATTATTACACACCTCTGATCCTTGGTTTGTTGTCTGTAAAATGGAAATAATAACTCGCTTATTTCACAGGTTAGATGGAGATTTAAAAATTAAATGAGAAGGCCAGTCGTGGTGGCTCACACCTGTAATCCAGCACTTTGGGAGGCTGAGGAGGGCAGATCACAAGGTCAGGAGTTTGAGACTAGCCTGGCCAACATGGTAAAACCCCATCTCTACTAAAAATACAAAAATTAGCTGGGCATGGTAGTGTGTGCCTATAGGCCCAGCTACTTTGGAGGCTAAGGCAGAAGAATCTCTTGAACCCAGGAGGAGGAGATTGCAGTGAGCCGCAATCGCACCACTGCACTCTAGCCTAGTGACACAGTGAGACTCTGTCTCAAAAAAAAAAAAAATTAAATGGAAGAAGCATTGGAAGAATCTAGCATAGTGCTTATCACACAGTACATGATAGTTTTCCTTTCCTTTGATCTAAACATATATGTGAAACAAGAAATATCTATAGAGGATATGATGTGCTAAATGTAAACTTGTTTGAAAGAACCAAAAATGTAAGTACACTCATTTCTCTAATTATCACCATTTAAACCATGCTTTACATCTCCTGTGGGCTTTATAAACATCAGTCAGTAAACCCACTGAACTTTAAATGAGGTGGCAATTCTAATTGTTATTTATAGCACAGGCAGAGTGGTTGAGTAGCTCATTCACAGCTATAGAAAAAAATCTTTGTTAGAAATGGAGAGAGAACACAGATACTCTAAAGTTAGGATCTTGTTCTTGGAGCTTACAGGTTTCTCCACTAGATCATACTCAGTAATAGTATCAAAAGAAATCAGATCAATATTAGCAAATTTTAAGCAGTGGCACTACATAAAGTACCCAAATTATGCTCAGCAAATTCATCTAAGTCATTAAAACTATGATGATTAATAGTTCTAATATTAACAATGAAGTACACACAAATCCAGAATGTGGGCATTTTGCAACATAACTAATTAACTTATGTTTGACATATTTCAAAATTAAAAGGTGAGGAAGAATACTAATATTGCTGAGTTGGGAAAAAGAGAAACAAAGCTAAATGGACTATGATTACTGAGAAATTGAACTGATTGCTTGAACAAAAATTTAAACCCCAACAACGACAACCAAAAGTAGACAACCACTAAATATAGAAATTGTTAGAGGTAGACCAAATGGTAAATTTCCCCAGAGTTTGTTCAAAAAGTATAAAACTTACCTTCCTCTTTCTACAATAATTATCTAAGGTAAAATCTTTATCTAAAAATAAGCTAAGATATTTTATACCTGATTACATTTAAGATTTAAAATTTGTGGCTTTCTATTGCCCAAATGGAGTTATGAGAAAGGCTCCATGGTGGGCATGTCTGGCCTATTCAAGAAAACAAGGAGGCCAAGATGTCTGAAGTGGAGAGAGAAAATGAGCAGACATCAGAGAGAGGCCATGTGGAGTATGGGGTGAAGGGATCACGTAGTGTCACTGTATAGACTATGGCTTTTACTCTGAGTAAAATGGGGAGTTAATGGAGGGTTTCAAGCAAACGAGTGACATTATCTGAAATATTTTAAAAGGACTATACTGACTGCTATTTTGAGAAAAACCTGTAGGGGAACAGAAAAACCAGATAGTAGGCTACTGCAATAATCCAGCTGAGAGATGACGATGACTTGGACTATGGTGGTACAAGCAAAGGAAGGTGGCAAGAAGAGGTCTGATTCTGCATAAATTGTGAAGGCAGAGCCCAGGCTTTTGGTTTGAACAATCAGAATGATAAAGAGACAGTCAGAAAATGATAGGTTTCAGGGGAAAAGCAGTTCAGTTTTGGGTATGTTAACTTTGATGTATGTATTGGATATCTAAGTGGAGGTATTAAATAGGACATAGATGGACATAACAGCCTGGCACTCAGGAGAGAGGTATAGGCTTATGACTAAGCCCTGGGGCACTGTAATGTTAGGATGTCAGAGAGAGGGGAAAGCACTAAAGGAGAATGTGAAGGAGCATACACTGAGGTAGGAGGAAAACTAAGAAAGTCCTAGAAGTCCATAAGAAAGGAGTGATAAACTGCTGTCAAATGCTGATAACAGGTTAATGCTGGATTTAGGAACATGGAGGTCACTGGTGACTTTGATCAAACTAGTTTTGATCAAAGCACAAACCTAATTGTAATCAATTAAAGAGAGAATGGGAGGAGAAGAATTAGTGACAATAAGAATGCCTTCCAATTTTGGTGCATTCCAACTAACATTTAGTTTTAAAAGAAAGAGAATAAAATTGTAAAGAAAATAGGAGAACTGAAAAGTCTGAAAGCCACCATGTAAGATTAAAGAGAAATAAACAGACCTTATCTTTATCCAACTTGATTAAGAAATAATTATTTCACTATCAGGTAAATGGTTCAAAAATGCCTATGATTGGCCGGGCGCGGTGGCTCAAGCCTGTAATCCCAGCACTTTGGAAGGCCGAGGTGGGTGGATCACGAGGTCAAGAGATCGAGACCATACTGGTCAACACGGTGAAACCCCGTCTCTACTAAAAATACAAAAAATTAGCCGGGCATGGTGGCGTGTGCCTGTAATCCCAGCTACT